ATGATCATTTTGAGGAATTTGATTCCTTTATGAGCATAGAACACATTTTGCAAATAAAAATTTGAAAAAAAAAATTGAAAACATTTTGAAGTACCCGTTTGCTTTTTAGTCAAAAAAGTTTTTTAGAGTAACTTTGCTTTAGTTTTTTTTTTTTTTCACTTTTTTATATTTCAGGTGTTCAGATTATTATTTTTTTCCTATTTTAGTTTTTCAGATTTATTTAAATTAATTAACTATGGAAAATGTACTTGAAAATAAGAATAACAAAATAAAAAAACAAGATCTAAGAAAACAGCAAAGCAGCTCTGAAAACCTTTTTGGTGATTAAAACTTAAAAAAAAATATTTTCTTATGCTTTTTTATTCAGGAAAAAAATTTGAAAATATAATGTGAAACAAAGTTGGAAAAAAAATATTTTAACCTGAATCTCAGAAAAGAGCAAAATTATTCTGAAAAACTTTTTTTTGTAGGAAGTTTTTCAGAGTTTAATTTTGTTTCCTTTTTTTTTTTTTTTTTTGCATTTTTTAATATTTTTTTTTCAAACGATGGAACAATAGTGGAACAAATTGCGCCCCATGTGCATGAAGTCCGTGTTTGCAGGTGCGCTAAATTTCCTAACTGTGATTTATTACGCTTCTGCGTCAAAAAAATTTTTTTTAACAGAAATAAAATCTTACAGATTTTATATGAACACATATTTTTTTTTTTTTTATTGAGATTTGCAGATTGCATCCTTTTTAAACACCATTTCACAGGAAATGATGTGTCACTGAGCTGACTGGAACCCGCATCAGTGTGTTTTAAATTTTAAACTTCAGATGATTATATGTGGTAAAACTTCTTTAATGAAGCATTGATACAAGATTAAAAATATCCAACAATTCTTAAAATGTGTCTGATATTAGCTTTTATTTTTTGAGGACATCCTCTTTTAAAGACTGGTAAGCTTTATGAGGGAAAAAGTCTTGTTCTAATCTATGGAAACCACATTTTTAGGCTTGCGGTTTGTTGCTATCAGATAAGTTTAGGTTAAGGTCAGTGAACACGGTGTGTGTAATTTGCTCTATCGCTGACAGGTTTGCTCCACCTTAAGGGAAGGAAATACATCATCTCCTTGTTGCACAATTAACTTATCTGAATTAAGGCCAGTTCAAGCAGCAACTAGGACGAGCCGTGACAGTTACAAAGAAACAAAGATGGAGAAAAGCAAGCAGAAACAACCAGGAAACTCAACACAGGAAATATCATTAATGGTTAAACATATCAATAAAACTAAATATGATTAAATGTGCTCCTGCAGAACAACTTTGTACATTTAGCAGCTAGCAGAGCATTTTCAGACGCTCCAGGTCAGGTTGCTCTTTTATCAGTTTATATGTGGATCTGTTTAACATTTCCATTTCATCTCTTTCTACTTCCATGTCAAACCGTTTATTATTCGTTGATAAATTGTTCTACTAGGTAAAGAAAATTCCTGAATTATGGATTGACCTGATCATGAGGTTATTATTAAGCTGATTGCATTTTGTCCTTTGGATGAATTTGGCCCTGATTCCTTTCATGGGCCGGTTGACCTGATGACCCAGAACCAAACCAAAATAACTCCTCAGCTCAGGAGGAGTTTATCACAGTCATGAAGAAATATCTCCTTACAAAAGAATGTGAGCACATAATAAAAAAACAAACATTTTATTGTCCAACCAGCAGGTAAAATAAACTACAGCCTGCGAAGAAAGAGTTCTGCAAAAATGCACATTGATATTATTTATTTAAAACCAGGGTATTTTGAACCAGGCTCCCAGAGTAGCACAACCATGAGACAATTCTGTTTTTCTACGATTGCAGATTATCTCCAACTCAACTCTCTGTTTCTGTGGCTCATGTCAGCTCGTGTCACTTTCAACTGTGTGATTGGCTGCTTTTCAGTAAATATTGATACAGTAGTTTTATTTCCTAGTTGCAGCTAGGAGCATTAGCAAAGCATTTTTAGGCTGTTCTCTTAAAAAGTTAAGAAAAACGCTTTAATTAGGTAATCATTAAATAACTTAGTTAACACAGTCATTAATGTCTTTAAACAGCATTATGGACTGAAGTGATTCATGGTATATATTAAGGTGACCAGATTTCTGCAATCTAATCTGGGGACATTTCCAGCTTCTAGATAAAAATAAATCCATTTCCAAAATTGAAATAGAAAACGGGGACATTTAAGTTTTCCTCCATTTTTATTCAATTTTTTATTAAACATATTTATTAATATTTAAACAAAAATCAAGAGTAAAATCCAGGAATGCGCCTCTTCTATTTCCTAAGAATAATAATATCAATCAATATAATAGTCAATATCAATATAAATATAAATTATAATTATTTATTATTTTATTGTTTATTATTTTAGTATTTAGTGTCATTCAGTCTTCTCTGCCTTCTTCCTTTGTGAGCAACATAACACGGTGTTCAGGGACAGGCCAGTTTGAATTAATACAGAGTTTGTGGGAATTTTCCTCTTTTTGCATATATATATATATATATATATATATATGTATATATACACGTATACATATATATATGTATATATATATATATATATATATATATACTGCTTAATAATATCTATAAACTAAAATGGCCTCCAGTTGTTTATACTGTTTCCTGAACAGCTGAGGTGCATTAGGTAGCCTTCAGCAGCCTGGATTAAAATCTGTGCCAATATTAAAAAGTTTAATTTTGTCATATTTTTATATTCAGATTAAATTACAACCATTAAAAGAATTCTATAAATCTGGATAATTCTGATGAGCAGCTTAAAGCAGCTACACTGCTACACTGAATGAAAAATAGTCCGTCCTTTAATAAAGTCATAGTGAAACCTAATAGGAATATATTTTCACAATCCTAAACCTATTTTCTACTCATGTGTACATAGATAGAGTTGTGCTTTTTTTTTTTTTAAATAAGCTGTTATTATTTTCATAGTATGTAAATGTAAAATTTAAAATGTATATTAAACGTTTTCACGTTTTTATAATTTTCTTTCGTAGAAATTTTACAATTACAATTACAGTGCATCTTTATATCTTTATTACAGCCTAGTATAATTATTTTTTTTTTTTTTT